TGCTGCTCAGGACTCCACCTCAGTGTGTGAGTGTGTTCCTGCAGCTCACATCAAGTTACAGCTCCTTCAGCAGTGGACACACACTGTGTGTTAGTGGAGGCAGTGTGTGTCTGTGGTGGACACAGGAAGTGGACTGTGTTTGGATCTCAGTGTTTCCCAGCAGACTCTGTGTCTCTGTCTCTGTCTGAGATGTTCACAGTGTTCAGATGATGATTATCTGTAAGAGGCCGATAACAGCAGGTGTAGATTTACTGGTTAGAAATGTGTTGATCAGTGTGACTTTGTGCTAAATATGTGATTTAAACTGTTAACAGAAGACTGTGCTGTGATCTCACTTTTATTTACTGCTGTCTTTGTGTCTCTCAGGTGTTCACATTTACCAGCAGATGGTTGGCTGTGAATGGGATGATGAGACAAATGAGGTTAATGGATATACACAGTATGGTTATGATGGAGACGACTTCATATCATTTGACCTGAAGACAGAGACATGGATCGCTCCAAAACAACAGGGTGTCATCACCAAACACAAGTGGGACAATGACAAAGCTGATATGTCATACACGAAGAACTACCTCACCCAGGAGTGTGTTGAGTGGGTGAAGAAGTATGTGAACTACGGGAGGAGCTCTCTGATGAGAAAAGGTGAAATCACATGACCTGATTTAATGTCTTGGATAAAATGCTCATTTCCCTCAAATACTTACGTACCTTGACTTTATAATGAACAACTTACTGTGTCTCAGTTTACTCTGTCTCTCATTTTCTGCCTCCTTCACCTTTTTCTCTCCCTTTTTTCTCTTTTTCTTACATATTCATCACCACTCTTATTCTGTTTTGTCTTCCTTTGTCTGCTCAGCTTCTTTCTGTCTCGTTTACTGTCTTTTCTCAGATTTTCTAAACTTTCTCATCTCCTCACATCTCTTCATCAGTCTTCCTTCTCTTCCATCACCCCCTTCTCTTATTTACATTTGGTATTCAAATGACTTTACTTTAAATATAAATGGTGATACTAGTATTCAGTTAATACAGAAACTATGAGCTGTCTTTCTCTTCTCTCCCCAGATCTTCCCTCAGTGTCTCTCCTCCAGAAGACTGCCTCCTCTCCGGTCACCTGCCACGCTACAGGTTTCTACCCCAACAGAGCCGACTTGTTCTGGACCAAAGATGGAGAGGAGCTTCATGAGGACGTGGACAAAGGAGAGCGCCTCCCCAACCATGATGGAAGCTTCCAGATGAGTGTTGACCTGAAGGTTTCATCCATCGCACCTGAAGACTGGAAGAGATACCACTGTGTGTTTCAGCTGTCTGGAGTCAACGACATCAAAACCAAACTGGACAAAACAAAAATCTTGACCAATAGAGGTAAGACTGAAATCAGAGGTGATGAAGGTGACAAACACACAGTTAGTTTACTGTAATAATCCTGCAGTTCATGTGTTTGTATGAGTCATGGATGAAAAGTTCTTTTTCCTTACATCATCTTTTGTTTCACATCTTTCATATTGATTTTAATATGTACTTTTAGGGTCAATACCAGTATAAGACTCATACATGTATCATTGTGTCACGTTAACCAATTTCCCCAAAAAATAAAAATTAAAACAAAAGGGTTGAAAGTGTTTTAAAGATTTAAAAGATTTAAAGATTTTAAAAATTATTGTTGTCCACCACTGTTTACTTCTCTGATGAAACACAACAATGTCAACAACAAACAGATTTGGTTTAATTTTATATTTCAAATTTGCTACATTTTTAAATTTATTTTACAGCTTTTAGAGTCAAAATTTGGGACCATTTGAGGCCTTTTTAATGTTTAACTACAGTTAAGAAATTACAGCCTCAGTATTTATAGAACTAGTGGACAGTTGTGGAGGAGAGGTTTATTTAATAACTAGTAAGTGTATGTATTGTGTTTTTAATAGAGCTGTTAGAATCAGAGTTATTTGTTAAGTATGTTCTTTACAGTTAAAAGCAATATTAAAATATGGAGTTTAAATGTTGATGTTAGAAGCTCTCTGTGTGTATTTCCAGTGTTAATAACATTTACAGACAGAAACCAGCACAGAGACATGCAGCTCAACAAAGACAACAAAGCTAAAAGGATAAATGAGCAGAGACTCTCTAATTATGTTCGTAGTAGTCGGGTTGAAAATGGAAATTAACAACATCAAGACAAACATCAGAATCAGAATCTCTTTATTGTCATTGTACAAGAAAGCACAACGGGATTTGAGACAGCAGCTCTTGTAGGCAGTGTAAACATCAGGACAAAAAGTACACAAGACATAGCATTAAAATTTTTAAAAAGACTGTATAGTTCCAGGAGTATTGCACTTGATGTATGAAGTGAAATTTTTCTATTGCACAGTGAAGAAAAATTTCTGTTTATACATCAAGTGCAATACTCCTGGAATTTCTTAAACGCAAAATCCCGGTGGTGTTTTATTTTTTGTTCTATATTCTACAAAGAAACATGCAGTGTCTTCAAACTAAACACTGATTTTACTGGACTGTCGACTGGCAAATGTCAGTTTTTCTATTCTCACCTGCTTCATTTGTTCAGATTGTGATTTGTTTGCTGCTGTTTGCTCGACAGGGAATCCTCTCTCCATGATCATCCCCATCGTTGTTGCTGCGGTGGTTCTTGCTGTCATCGCTGTGGTTGGATTCGTTGTCTACAAGAAGAAGAAGGGTGAGAAAACAAAACACACATTTTTGTCAACATTTTGACTTTTACATTTTATCCAGATTGCAAAAGTGAAACAAACCCTAAGTCCAGCACAGTAAACTCCATAAGTAATCACTGCAAGGCTGAGAGCTGCAGATTCATGAAAGTGTGACTATAGTGTTAATGTAAGAGAGAAGTGATGTGAAAGAGTAACATAGAACAATTTTCAACTGTAACTACTAAAATAATTTTTAAATTTTCTTCTACTTTCAGACAAACGTCCTCCATCTCGTAAGTAAATCCTGTCTGGATTCTATTTTCTCTGATCTCACCTGCACTCTATAGATGACCAATTTCTGTGTTTTGTACAAAATAAATCCTGTTAGTTTTGTTTGTAAAACACAGTGTTGATTCAGATCACGATGTGAGTTATTGTGTTTCTCACTTTCCAGCTGTTGACAACCGTGAGGTCCAGGAGGAAATGATTCCCAAGGCCTGAATGACAAACACAACCCTGCACACAGTGAGTTGGTTCATGTGTTGAACAGAGCTGATTTCAAACATGTTGTGTAAAGTATAACAGAAAACTTCTGTGACACATTGTAGTTAAAATTAAGTTAGATTGTTAAGAGAAAAGATGCAAAGTAAAGTAATATTAACCTTTTGGAAAACAGTGACACTGCTTTATTAAAATGGTTGGACTGAGTTAGAATGAATGTTTGTAGTGTTTACCTATAAAAAGTATTGTACTTTACAAAATGTTAACACGTAAATATCTGAATCATGAATACTGAACGTCCAAATGATTCTTTAAATATGTGGTTTTACTCTATATGTAACTGTATTTTTCTCTTTCTTTAGGTTTATGGATTCATTTTGCACTGAAACAAGGAGCGGTGTCGCCACATTCTCCTCCATAAACTGGGAATTCATTGGATATTAATCATTAACTGGTAGAAGAAGTGCTGAGGATTGAGTTAGAAATGCTTTTTGATTCAAATCCAGATAACACTGAAAAACATGAGTCATCAACAATGTTTCGAGCATTTAGTTCTAATTAAAAAGTGGAATTCCCTTTGATCAAACACAGTGATGACTGTCTGCAGAGAAGTAAAACGTATTCAAACGATATTCAGATCATTCAAAGCATCACAGCGTTCTTCATACAAACACAATGAATCAGAGAATTGTGTCCTCATCTGAAACAAACATACCGTACTTACAGTTAAATATTTCTGATGTTGGGTTTTTCTGTAAATCAATGAAGCAAACAATATCAATATTGATAATACAGATGTAGATATACATGTATAGGCACACATACATTACATTCATTCCCCTTTTCATAGACGTATATTCTGAGTGTCTGGAGATATAATAACATATACATGAAGATCAAATGCTGCACCTCAATCAGCAGCATCCCAAAACATGTAAACTGGAGAGTTTAAATATCCTGCAGTTGTGAGTGTAACTGGTGTTTCTGTGTTAGTGCTGAAGATAAAGTGAACCTGGTCTGTGTCTGCTGGGACTGACTCCAGTCCTCTCAGTGGACAACCAGGACAGTAGACTGATGGAGGAAGTTTTTCATCACTCTGGTGGTGATCTTGATTTGTCAGTACTTTATTGGAAACACATTTCCATCCGGTTTGTGGTGCGTCTCAAAATAATGTACAGAAAATATATATGAGATAAGAATGATGAATGATGGACAGTATCTGTGCACACAGACACAAAACACAAACATCAGTTCAATGTTCAGTTTCCAGTTGTGTAAATATTCTGTGTAAAGATCTTGTTTTGATCCAACCAGACCTAAGAAAGTCAAAATGAATGCTTCATTCATTTATAAGATTATTTTTCTGGCATTTTTGCCTTTATTAGTTAGGACAGTGAGAGAGGGAGACAGGAAAGGGGGAAGAAGAATGGGGAGAGACCTGCAGCAGGCTGTCATGAGTGGGAGTCGAACTCACGACTGCTGCGTCGGAGAACTGCAGCCCCTGTTTATGGGGCGCCCCTTCAGTTATTAATTAAGAAACAGTCCGTCTTGTTTCCTCTACAAAAACATTTTTATATGTGGTTTGAATATAGATTATAGGTTGTGTGATATCTTTAGTTTTTCAACACGCTGTTACATGTTCTTGAACACTCCTCCTGCTGCCATTTAACCTCTTAAGACCTGAGCTCTTGTTTGATGTGCATTTTTAAAATTTATTCCTCTTTGCTGTTTGATCTGAT